TTGTAAGAATATAAATTTCTGTTGTTTTTAGCCACCCAGTCTTTTGTATGGTATTTTGTGTGGTACCCCTAACCAACAAATACATCCCTTTAGGCTATAAACCTTTAGGGGAAAGGCAAAAAATCAGGTGATCGCAGATCTGTACAGTACCTAGGTAGGTACTATGATCCCTATTTTACAGATGAGAAAATGGGCCCAAAGTGGTTAAATAACTTGCCCCAAGTCACATAGCCATAAACTGAGCTGGAATTCTAACCTAACTTGCAGCCTTCAAAGCTTGAAATGTTTTTTATCAACCAAACAAGGTAGAACCACTCCCCACTACTAAGTTACCTTCTGGAGGGTCCCTTGTAGTACAGGCTTCCCCCACTAGGTGAGTGTTTTAGGAACCCATCTGTAACAGTGTATTAGCTGGCCTTGTTGTGAGAGGTTGCATTTGGCTTCAGTGAATTTTTTTTTAAGACTCTTTCAACACATTTGCCCATTTCATGATGGGATATACAAAGGCACCTGTCCACACTGTGCTGACTGAGTGTTCAGGAGTTTTTGACCAAAAATGGCATGATCCCCATGCTCCACCCTCCCTATTTACTCAGTCTCACCAGGAGCAACTTTTTCCTGTTTCCCCAGATGAAAAAAGTGTTCAAAGGGAACTGTTTTGCCAATGTGGAAATGGTGAAACAAAAAACACCAGAAGCACTAAGAGGCATCAAAATCAATTAGTTAAAAAACTTTATTGAGTAGTGGAGAAAACGTCCCAATAGGTGTATTGCATCAAATGGATGGTACTTTGAAAGTGACTGATGTTTAAGCATGTAAGAATAAATACACAATTTTTTTATAAATAAATTTCAATTTGTGGGGGGTCTTACCTCATACAGACCTTCCATTCATTTGGGACAGTAAGTGCAGAAGGGAATGGTGAAATTTTAGGTCTGGAAGGGGTCTTATTTACCCCTTTATTTTCTTAGTGAGGACATTGAGGCCCAGAGAACTCAGGTAATTTCCCTAAGGTCACACAGTAATTTTAGTAGTAGAGTTAGAAACATAACCCAGGTTCCCTTTCTAGCTTCCAGTGCATTTTGGGCAGCTGCTCCTAAAATCTTACTACCAGACTCTCACTATCAGAAAAGGGAGTAATTTAGTCTTATATTTCATCTGAGGCTGCTCTCCAGGGAAGATAAGGATTCCTGTGAAGTCAGCTGGAAAAATTTTTGTGACTCTTATAGTTTCCTGGAATCTGGGTGGAGGTCCTATAGCTTGCTAGCCAAGGTCCAATCCAGGCAAGGCCAAGATGGAGTGACTTTCAGATGATCTAGGTTTGGTGTTCTCTTAGAGGGTAGGGCAGGCCTCCTCCTCCTTCTTTTTGAAAGATGAGAAAAGGGGGGTGATGATCAGCAGAGGTCAGGTCTGACCTAAGAACAAGTCACTTAACATCAAGCCCCAAATACTCCAAACTCTTTAGAATATGTTTAAAAACGGTTTTGAACAGTGAAAAAAAATGACTTGATGGGTTTATTGCATTAAATGGAGAATACTCTGAAGGTGACTGAAGTTTAAATATGTAAGAATAAATACACTGTTTTTTATAAATAAATTCTGGGTTTTAGGGGGGTCCCCCTCACATCAAGGGAGTAGCAGCAATAAAGGAAACACCTCTGAAGGACAAATTTCATCTATAACTCATCTAGACCAAGACTACCCTTCCCATTAGCTGTTCAGAGTCTCCTCATTAACCCCAGGAACAAACATTCACAAGTACTACAACAAAAATACTATAACTAGCTCAAAATATGTAACTGATTGATAAATAAGAGATAATAGATTTGTAAGCTAGCCGCATACAATATTAGCTAAACAAAAGTAGTTAAGATACCTAGGAAAACATTTCCCAGCTATGTGCTTTGCTATATCCTTCTCTACCATGATAACAAATAGGCTGTCAAAATAGAAATCTGTGATCAAATTAACTGAGACCAGTTTAAACAAAATTAAATAGGCTTCTTTACTAATAGGTTTCTTTTCTTTTTAATTTACCATTTTAACCATTTTTTAAAAGAATTTTTAAAAGATTTTATTGATTTATATTTAGACAGAAGGGAAGGGAGGGAGGAAGAGAGGGAGAGGAACATTAATGTGTGGTTGCCTTTTGCACACCCCTTACTGGGGACCTGGCCTGCAACCCAGGCATGAGCCCTGACCAGGAATCAAACCAGCAACCCTTTGGTTCACAGGCCAGTGCTCAATCCAGTGAGCCATACCAGCCAGGGAGATTTCTTAGAGACTTTATAACAATTTATGATGGAAGTGAAAGCAGAAAGTGCCAAAGCAGGCCTGTATTTGAACATCAAGAAGATAAAAATCATGACTAAGGCAGAAATACACAAATTTAACACAGATAATGAAGACACTGAAATTGTTAAAAATTTTGCTTACCCTGGTTCATTCACTGATTCAAAAGGAGACTGAAGCCAAGAAATCAAGAGAAGGCTGAGACTTACAGGGGTAGCAATGGAAGAATCAGGAAAGATCATCAAGAGCAAAAGTGTTATTAGAGACCAAGGTTAAGATCATCCACACTCTCGTATTCCCAATTACTATGTATGGATACAAAAGTTGGACACTGAAGAAGGCTGATAGGAAAAAAATTGATTGATTTGAAATACGGTGTTAAAGGAGAGCTTTACAGAAACCCTAGACTGCTAGAAAGACAAACAAGTAGAGCAAATTAAGCCTGAAACATCACTGGTGGCAAAAACAACAAAACTTTAAAGCAGTCCTACTTGGGCACATCATGAGAAGGCAGGGTGCCTTGGAAAAGACCATAATGCTGAGAAAAATAGGCGATGGAAAAAAAGGAAGACCAAATATGAAATGGATTGCCTACAAAAAGAACATAAGACATGAGTCTACAGGAGCTGAGTGCCTAGGGCTGCTGAGGAAGGACAATGTGGACATCACGCACTCACAGGCTGGCCAAGAACAGCATGTAGCAATTATGAACTCCAGGTAGAGGATATACTACTTACACTGTTTTCATTTTTTCCTCCTGAGCACCTATTAACAGTTGCTAGGATAGTATTCTGATTAACACCACTTTTAGAAGTGCTGCTCTAAAGAGAAAGCAAAGGCCCAAGAATAGAGTTCATTATTAGGTGGTTGGAGAAAAAAAAATCCAGCAAAGAATATAGTAAGGAAGGTAAGAAGCAAATCTGGGGAGTTCAATATTATAGAAGTAAGAAGGGAGATAGTTTCAAAAAAGCTAGAGATAATCAACAGAACCAGATTACTGAGTAATTAAATAGATTGAGAATAAAAATGTTTTATGGATTTCACTAGGAAGACTGTCATATGTGACCTTCAAGTGAATGGCTTCAGAAAAGGGGAAGAAAGAAGACTGGCTGACTGAATAAATTAAGATTAGGAAGGGGATGAAAAAGAAGTTGATGAAACATTTATAGACTACTCATAATTGGAGTTTAGCTGAGAAAGGAAAAACATCAGTTCATTGAGAGAAGGGAGTATATGGGGCATAGAAATTTTCTTACAACAGGGTACACCTATACCTGTTTGAAGGTAAAAGTGAAAACCTACTAAAACTGATAATCACAGTCCAGCAGATGGAAGAAATGGAACCAAGAGTAGAAATTACTAGAAAAGACATATCTTTCCTTTCAGATTGGAAGAACTTGAGTAGTAATACCTAACTATTCAGAGTCTGAAGACCTCATTTAAATATTCCAAAATTTCACAGGTTTCTGCCTACTCCATTCAAGAGAATTTTTATCTTCAGAGTTCAGTGTGTAGTGTATATAAATCTGGTAATCTCTTATTCCTTTCAGAGGATGTCTATGTTGTGGTGAAGAGGTGGGGGTTACGGAGAAGCACTTACCTGAGGGCCTCAATCTTCATGAAGCAGAACAAAGGTAGAGGCTGGTGACAATAAAGAAGTTAGGAGCTCATGGAGATTTTAATTTATAATGACTTACTATAAGTGATTTTGATACACAAAATAAAAACTTATAAATTATAATAGAAACACACAAAAAACAATGCAAAAAATACTAAAGAAGCATACAGAAGGGCATCTACTTATCCCACTCAGAAATTTTCACAACTCTGCTATACCAACAGACGTTTCATAAATCATAAATTAATATAGTCCCAATATGCTAGTAAGAACAAAGACTATTTAGTAGCAGGTCTTCGGTTACAGTCCAGCTTTAAACTTTTTAAATTTAAACTTTACATGTCTTTCCATCTGCATAAAACACCAACGATAATAGCTACTTAAGCATACAAAATTTCATTTTTATTTCCTTTCAAAAACAATGAGAACATTGCCATGAGAGTCTGTGGCACTTAACATATTTTTAGAGTTTACTTTTTTTGGCTAATTTCATTAACAATTCATATTGAGTACGTAATTTTGGATTAACTATGCCCATGTCGCAAATGTGGTGCATGTACGGTTCCAGAGTCTATCATAACATTTTGATCACAAAACGGCAGTAATATTTGATTCTATAACTACTTAATATACTGACCTAGAGAAATTTATGAAAAGTCATACTGCTTAAAAAATACACGACTACCATAAGTAGAGGAGTTAGAGGAGGCTCCATTCTTGAAACAAAGAAATTAATATTGATCAGTGTGCATGGAATAAGGTTAAGGCAACAATACCCACACCCAATCTGGCACTCTCCAGATCTGTGTATCTGTGAACGTAAGGCGGCCACATAGGCCAGATGATTACCACTGCCAGCTCAGCAGCTGAGCTTGGAGAAAAGGCGGCATCCACACATAGGCCACCCTTGAGAACCAGAACTTAGAGCCAGTTAAGTCTGGCAGGAACTGAGGAATGTGGCAGTGATAAACCAAGAAAAGTCCCACAGAAGCAGCTGTTGACGGTAAAGGGGAGCCTCCGGGGCTGCAATCCTGGAAGGCACCAAGGAGCTAAAATTAATGGGTGTTGAGGGGGAAGGGCTCGTCCTTACCTTGTCATCTTCGCATCTCTTCCCTAGGCCCTCCCTGGCCTGCAGTCGGCTGCTGAGACGGCCGTAATCGGCCTCCTTCTGGTCAATCTGCTTCTTGTGCGAGTCCACCAAGAGCAAGAGGTCCGAATTGCGCTTCTCCAGGCGCCCGCGGGCTACTTCGGTACGCTGGACCTGGCCCTGCAGCTCGGCCACCTCCTCCTGAAGCAGGACGTGGCGGGAGGAGATGCTCCAGTAGTTGAAGGCGAGGATCGCGATCACTATCAGCAGCACCACCAACACGAAGGAGGGCAGGCGGCCACCCCGCCGGTTGGCCCCGAAACCCACCATGGGGACGAACCGGGCTGTGTCTGGGGACCTCGGTGCCGACACCTGCCGGCAGAAGCTCAGGCCTCCGCTGAGTTGCCTGGGGGACGCGGCCCCAGGGCCAGCGGAGGGAGTAGGCGGGCCAGTGCGCTAGCAGGCTAGCCGGAGAAGGGGGCGGGGCTGCAAGCCCCTCCCCGCCCCCTCTCCTCAAAACGGGCCGAGACGCTTCTGGAGGCTTTGAACGCGACCCTGCACCGGCGGAGAACGAAGGAAACCTAACTGCCCACACCTCGGGCCCAACACCTCAGGGTTAGAGGGCGGGGAAAAGAGCCGGAAGGGGGCGGATTAAATTCTAGCCCCGCCCACCGACTGTGTCTGGGTAGCCTAGGGGGCCATTTCCTAGTTTCCGCCAACGTCCCCTCTTCTCGCGAGAAAGTGGGCTTCTCTCGCCCTTTGCAGTCTTATCTCGCGAGAGTTTTATCTGTAGGAAGGGTGTTGTGTCAATTTTGGCAGATTGTGTTAGCTGTTGCACCCGAATAGGAGTCCCTTCCATTTTTTACCTGCTCCATTCCCTTAACCCAGGGTGTAGGGAGTGCCTGCTCTGCCCCTCCCGAGAGTTTTTGTCTTTGAAGACTTCTGGGGCTGCAACCGCTCTGCCGGAAAAACTGTAGGTGAGCTGCGGACAGAAAGTGCTACTAGAAAGGTTTTGTACTTCAATAGAAGGAAATTTTCTCGTGTTAACGATGTAGAGAGAGCGCAAAACAAAAAAGACAATAAAATAGTGGTGCCTCAAACATTACGGAGAAAAGCAAGAAAAACTAAGCTTTACGACTGAAAGGGGTGGTGCCAGCTGGTTTCCAAGGTTACTGCTTTCACGAACGGAAAGAATTTAAGAATGTGTGAGCTTCTGTTCTTAAACTGCTGCTTTTGCTTCAAGCTGGGCTTCCAAAGTCCAGAAACTGCCCTGAATGGTGATAACTAATCCTGTTACTGACAGCCAGCACATTCTAAATTACATAGCTGTCTTACAAAATGTTTTTGCATGCGTATTCTCATATTGTCCTGTCAACCACACTTTTACAGATCAGGAATCCAAGACACAAAATGGTCCAGGAACTTTTTCAAAGTCCCATCCATGTCTTGTTTGACACAAAATTAGACTTGAATTCAGATCACTGTTCTCTAACGTAACTGATGCTTGCATTATATCTGGCTGTTACTACATGTTCAGCGTTAATTATGGTGCTGCAGAGAAAGACCCCACATCTTTGGTCTGCATATTTCCTTTGCCCTTGCATAAAAATTTTAGAAGTTATTGGTTCTATTCCTGTCTAAGGAGAAGATGGAGTTGCTTCATTTTTCAAACCTCAGGTTAAAGAACTTCCATGAACATAAAACCTCAAGAACACAAAAAAAACTTTGGTATTTTCATTCAAATCAGAGTGGTATGATTTTCCGGCAGAAAGATGTCATCTTTGAATAATTATTCTATGATTTCTATCCATTTCAAAATCAGTTACCTGCCTAATGGTCATAGAATAGCCCAGAAGAATTATTGCATCTTCAAAGTGTGATAACTTCCATTTCACAGATGGAGAAAAACAACTAACCCCACAATTACTAATATTTAATTCACGTCAAAATTGATCCCTTTGCTCTGATTTCCTAAGATCTAAGAAATCCTATCCAATCTCCAATGACAAGCCAATTTTCATAAAAAGAAGAAAGGTAAAAATGGGAAATCATTGAATACAAATAATGAGCCTTCCCATCTATCCTTTCCTCAACTTCATATTGACCTGGCTTTGCTTAGCCAGCTGTAAAAAAATTAATCTATCAAGACATGTTAACTGCTGAAGATGTAACTCTTTCCAAAAGTGTTCACATTTTTGGCATCCTACCCGTGTATGGAACAGCCTGTGCCTTTTACCTCCCCCATAGGAACATTACCTCTGCCTTTCTAAGCTCCAAGGGCCCTTTTACTACCTTTGTAACTTTCTAAAAATTTTCTCTTATAATTTGAAAAGGAAAAAAAGTGTTTACATTTTTATATAGGATTCCAACACATGAAACTACAATATAGAAAACACATTTACATACATTATTTTCATCAGATGCTTCAAAGAACTATTTGGTACCATTATTCCATTTTAGAGATGCAGAAGTAATTTACACAAAGTCATATGTCTCCTAAGTGTCAGAGCTGAATCTTGAAAACCAATTCTTTTTTCACGCCTCCCCTCAAGGGACAATTTTTTTTCTGTTTTAACGGTTCCCTCTTCGAGCTAATCCCCCTACTAATGAACCCAATCCAGATATCATCAAGACAGTATATAAGTGCTCTCCTATAATTGGTTCTGGATTAGGCATTAAACCAATTGGAGTAAAAATCAGTTCCTTAAACCAGATGATCAAGGTTAACAATATTAAGTCATGTCATTAGTGTGTGCTTTTTGTATGATGTCATGAGAATAGTGTTCTCTGATCTTCCTTCCCAAAACTCATAATCCTAGTCCAATCATGAGCGAAACAGACAATTCTTGATTAAAAAACATTATACAAAGTACTTTAATTACTGTAATCCTACAAACTGTCAAGGTCATTATAAACAAGGAAAATCTGAAAAACTTTCACAGCCAAAAGGATAAAGAGACATAATTACTATTGGGTTGGCCAAATAGTTCATTTAGTTTTTTCCATATGATGGCTCTAGTAGTGCTTAGTTGTCTTTAACTTTATTTGAAACAATTTTATTAGATTGTATTGTGACAGCCTGCATTTGAAAAATTTTATCAAAATTGCTGAATTTTTGTGCAACTATTTTAATATTGAAGATGGAAGAAAATATGTAACATTTTCAGCATATTATGCTTTATTATTTCTTTTTTTAAATGTGTATTTCCTGGGTTTACAGCATGCACCTCTCTACTTGACATCCATAGTCATTTTTTAAAAGATTTTATTTATTTATAGAAAGAGAGGAAGGGAGGGAGAAAGAGAGGGAGAGAAACACTGATGTGATGTGTGAGAGAAACATTAACTGGTTGCCTCCCCCAAACACCCAACCGGGGACCCATCCCACAACCCAGGCATGTGCAAACCAGCAACCCCTTGGTCCTCAGGCCAGTGCTCAATCCACTAACCCACTCCAGACATGTCTATGCTTTATTATTTCAAGAAAGGTAAAAATGCAATTGAAATGCAAACAAAAGATTTGTGCAGTATATGGAGAAGATGCTGTGGCTGATTGAACACGTCAAAAGTGGTTTGCCAAGTTTCTTTGTGCTACTGACCAATAATTGACAAAATGTCAATTATTTGACATTTTGGCCAAATAATTCTTTGCTATAGGGTTGTCTTACGTACTGGGAGATGTTTAGCAGCGCCTCTGGCCTCTACCAACTAGAAGCCAATAGTGGGAGATAACCAACATACTCAAAATATCCAAATCAATAAAGTTATTGGTGACAATTAAAAATGTGTCTTTTATTTTATGGAAAAAACATTGGATTTTTTGGCCAATCCTGTAAAGGTACTGTGGTATCCTAGATAGAATTCTAGAACAGAAAAGAGTCATTAGGTTAAAACTAAGGAAATCTGATAAAATATAAATATAAATCTTATAAAATATGAACTTTAGTTAATAATAAACTAAGTTATTAGTTAATTGATTGTCATAAATGTACGATGCTAATAAAGATGTTAATAATGGAGGAGATTGAATGTAGGGTATATGAGAATTCTCTACTATTTTCACAATTTTTCTGTATTTCTAAAACTATTCTAAAGTAAAATTACTTTTAAAGAGTCAGTTCCTATCTTTTGGGATATCTTTTAGGTTATCAAGTATAGACATAAATATATTCTTACAACTAGAAAGGCAGTATAATCATACAGAAATAATGTTTTAAGATTTAATTGAGAAGTAAGCATCTATTATAGAGTGGCAAGTGTGGTTGAATCATGGGAATTTTCCTGTTTAGATGGAGTGTTCTTTAAAGGCAGGACTCAAATCATTTATTTCTCTTGTAAAAACCTAACTTGTTTTTAAGTCCAAAACACTATTTGGAATATACTGACTTCAATATATGTTGACTCAAAAAAATTTGATGTGCTGCAGTTGAGCAGAGGAGGGATTATTTTATAACTTATTCCTCAATATTTAGGACATTGGGTAAGACTAGGTTAGAGAAGGTCCCAGCTCATAGAAATACCAAATACACAGATGTAGGCAAGTTCTTTCCATTGTAAATGAAAAGAAAAACCCAACCTAAACTGGTTTAAGTAAAAAATAAAATATTAAATTTAAAAATATGTATATATTGGAAAGATACTAGGAAAGTTCATGATACTATTGGAAGAACAGCTGGAGCTGGGGTATGTATAGGGCACTCGAGGCTTTTATGACCGATTCTTTCTGTTTCTGCTTTCTGCCTGGCTTTATTCTGTCCTGCTTCAGGTAGTCCTTTTCATTGTAGACAGAAAATATGGCCCCAGCATCCCCAGGATCATATCCTGCCAGTTCCATGATCTGAGAATTAAGGGAAGCCTGTCTTCTAACTGTTATCAGTACAAAAATTACCAGGGAAGGATTCTAGTTGTTCAAGCCTAATCATGTGCATACCACTTGCAACCATCTCTGTGGCCAGGGAGGTGAGGTATTATGATGATGGAACATTGGACACTCCTTTGTGACCAATGGGCAGTCTGACACCAAGAAACAGCATTGGGTAGACCAAAACAAATGTTAGCTGCAACTGAGTTTTCTTTATGTTGAGATGTATTACCTCCCTCCAATTAAAAACAATTAGTAAGTGAATAAAGACATGGTGTTGCCGATTAGCCTCCCCAGGAAACAGACTCTGAGATGGATATTAGTGATAGAAGTTTTTTTAGGGAGTGTTCTTGGGGTCACCACTCACAGATGGTAAAAGAAGGGAGGAAAACAGGAGGGACAGAGGGAGAAGTTGGGCTGCTACACAGTCTCAGTGAAAGCCTCACCCGATTCCATGTAGAGCCCTGAAGCTGGAATGGCCCTTCAAAGTTATCCTGAGTCAGAGGGGTCCAGGCCTTTATACCCTTACAGCAACCAGGTTTTAGATAGCTAGAGGGAAAGGGCAAGTAGGCTGTGTGCTAATTCTAATCAATTAGTAACAATGCCTGGATTTCTGTATTTAAAAAGATTGAGAAAGTGTATCTGGGCGAAGTGAGAAAGAAAGCTATGATTAATTAGCAATTTGGCCACAGGCACAGGAGGACCTATGATGTCCTGTATGCGAGGTGGATGCTATGATGTGCCACCTTTCAGGA